CTCAAGATTTCACCGCTAAGCCACATTTGGAGCCGGCGGTAGGCAGAATTAAAGGGAAATCTGGGTGCTTTAGCTGAGACCAGCCACTCGGGCGCAGCAGAGGAAGCCGAAGTCAATTTCGCCGTCACCTGGCATCAAACCTGAGAGGTGTGGCTGATGTTTATGTTCCAAAGCATGTCTCCCAGCTTTACACAGCAGTTACACATCTTGTTAATCCTTCCGTGCTCTGCAATGTCAATATTAGCACACCAGTGGCATTCAAACAGAGAAGCCACAAATAGGATCAGCTGGCACAGAAAGATTTTGGTCGACTGTTAGAGGCAAAACAAGCCCTGCTGGAAAAGCAAGAGGAGGCAATGACACTTGGCATACCTGGAAGCAGTCTCTATTCTGAGCATATGCAGAATATTTTTCCTTACTGTTGGGTTATTTACAATGGACCCATGCATCAGAACAAATTCAGAGGTCAGGCCCCACAAATAGCCATGCCCCAAACCTTACTTTTGAGGAGAGACTCCCGCTGCCCTCGGGCTTCCCTCTTCCTCCCACTGTGGAATTTGGCGGGGGGGGGGGATCATGGGATATGGGAAAAACCAGTTCAGAGGGCATTTAATCACCTTCAGAAAGCAATTAAATGCCTTTTGAGTTCCCTTCCACAAAGCAAGAAAGCTTAGAAGGGCACTCAAAAGTGGCACCTTCAATACATCTCTGATAGTCCCCGTTTCTGCTAGCTCCAGTCCTGCTGTATACCACCAAGTCATGGTGAGTCTTTCAAAAGCATTCCCACGATCATTTAGGAAACATGCAAATTAATTTAATTAACTGTAATTGTTATGTATTGTGCATACATGCTATTATGCCTGAGCTTCAACAAAAACCATCTAAAGGCTGGTATCGTAAAATGCACGTTCTGATTGGCTACTCTGCGCAGAAGACCAATCAGAGCATAAGAAAGGTTCTGGAGGGAACTGAAATCATTGGTCTTGATGTAAGCATTATGATTTGGTTATTAACACACCGGGGGGCGTGGTTATACAAGCCCGGAAAGTTTTAAAAGAGAGCTTTCTGCTCTACTGTTTTTGAGTTGTTTCTGTCATGTTCCAATAAAGCTGAATCACTTGTTTAAGAGCTGCCTGAAGTGCCATACTTAACAGTAATCTAACTGCCCCCTTAAAAATTTAAATGCCTCCCCAAATCCTGGCTATGGGCCTGTCAGAGGTTATGCCTTCCCCACTCCCCAACCCTTTCATAAATTAACTGCTACACATTGGATCCTACTAACTTTCCCCACTAATTTTATCATGGTTCTTCTTGTTACCCTGTCCTGCAGAGGTTTTGCTCTTGTGGATCCCATGATCCCTGGCAGATCCTTTTCTGATGGTCAAAAGGGGCCCCTCCTCTTAATTTCCCGAAAAAGCTTGCCGGATCTGACCTGCTATCATGCATTTATTTCCTGGATTCCTCAGACAGCCTGCCCAGTTCCTATCCCCCAGGTAACGGACAACGGAAAGCAGAAAAGTGCACCCAGTCATTTATTGCTATGCTACAGTTAACCGTGAATTCAAAAGGCTCTGTTTGCCCGTAGGGAGTGGCAGATGGTTTATCGGCAAGGTTGGAGTACATCCTGTCCTGGTGGATGGAGAAGAGGAGGTCCTATGTGTTGGAACAGATCTCACCTGGAGGAAAGAGACAGCAAAGTCCAAAAATGAAAGGGAGATGGCATCTTGGCTATCTAACACAGGTGTACCAGCTTTCCAAATAATTAATAGGTCACCCGCTTCCACGGACCCATAAACCGTGGATGAAGCCCAATTGGACGAACCCCAAATGAGATCTGATGCATGCTGTCTGCCTGGCCGGTTCCTGCACTTCCCGGTGTGGTTTGGAATGCACAAAAAGAAGTACAGGAATATTAGGCTGAAATTTCTTCTATCTGACCCTTTCCTTTCTTCCGCTTTGCAACAACTCGGGGGGGGGGGATGAAAAAAAGGGAGAAACAGGGAATGGAAAGATCAGCAATCCTGCTTTGGCATCCAAAATTTTCTTGCCTCCCCATTTCCCATCTGGAACTCGGAGGAAAATTTAATCACAAGCTTCCAGCCTGGGTCTGCAACATGCTACAGCCCTGATGCGGGATTTAAGGCTTTGTGTACGCTGTGAGTCTGCAGGAGAGGAGGAAAAACACAGCACGTGGACTTGCATACAGAATACAGCTTCTGGAGACCTGAGCTTTCATTTTAAAACCAGGAAAGCAGGAGTATCCCTCTCTTAACAGCCTATGAGATAGGGCTTGAAAGAATGGGGAATCTCAGAAGCCGGTCTGAATGAGCTGACAGTGTTTGGGGTGATCCCTTAGGACTCCTGCGTAGCCTCTCCCCAGTGAGCGGCAAAGCCAAAGTAAACCATACAAAAATAGAAACCAAAGCCTGCACAATCATGCGAAGGGGAGAAATCACACTTCTGAAATGTCTAGGACACATCAAAGACTATCCTTGCATAGATTTTATTGATTTTTTTTACAGAACTACCTTCCCAGTGGACTTAAGCCTAGTAAGAATCGATTTAGCTAGAACACACAACGCTGCCTTAAACTGAGTCAGCCCGTTGGTCCGCCTAGCTCAGCATTTTCTGCCTGACCGTGGCTCTTTGGAACCTCAGAGGAAGGCCTTTCCCGGCACTTGAGAGGCACCATCTTTGGAGCTTCAGCTGGGGACCTGACACTGACCCGGAAACGTCAACTGGTCCAGAATGAAGCAGCGAGGGTCCTAACTGGAACCCCTCCTAGAGCACATATCCAGGTGGTGCTCCACCAGCCGTACTGGCTCCAGATTGAATTCTGGATTTAACCTTTAAAGCCCTTTACGGCAGAGGTCGATTTGGGGGGGGGCCCCCCCCACCTGCACCACCCCCCCCCCCCCCAGAGAGCATTACGCTTCTCAGGTAACAACACACTGACAGTCCCGTGGCCAAAGACCATTTGCCTGGCTTCAGCTCGAGCTACAGCCTTCTCTGCAATAGCTCCTGCTCTACAGAATGCACTTCTGTGCAAGATCCAGGCCCTCCGGGACTTCGCTCAATTCCGCAGGGACTGCAAAATGGAACTGCATCACCAGGCGTGCAGGTGAGACCGGGGAGTTTCATTTATATGCTGCCTTTCGCTTTTCCCCACCCCTCTCCTCCTGGGACAGTGGAATTAGTGAAATAGTTTTCATGCCATCTGGTTAATTCTACTCTGATCTGTATGTATAGTTTTAATTGTTTAAATTGTCATCTGTGTTGTAATCCGCTCTGAGCCCCACGATTGTGGGGGAGAGCGGAGTAGAAATTGAACAAACAAATGAACAGAACCGCTGAGCCATAGCCTTTCCCCTAAATACAGCTATTTCAATTTAATTGTGATTTATTTATTTTTAAAAATCCACTGGTTTAGAAGGTAGGTTTTCCATATTTCTGCACGTGGCACCTCTGGGGTCTGCTCTGGGGGCCAAAGGACTCAGTAGCAGCAGGGGGGGGGCGTGGCTGGAAGCCTGAGAATCCAGGAGGCCGGCAGGGAAGCCAACCGGTGGGGAGGGTATGGCCTGGGTGGGGGTGGCTAGCACAGGCTGCAGCACTGGGGTTGGCAACCTCCAGGTGGGGCCTGGAGATCTCCTGGAATGACTGCTGATCCCCAGAAGGCAAGGAGCAGTCCCCCTGGAGAAAATGGCTGCTTTGGAGAGAAGAAGAAGAAGAAGAAGAAGAAGAAGAAGAAGAAGAAGAAGAAGAAGAAGAAGAAGAAGAAGAAGAAGAAGAAGAA